AGTGAGGCCAATTTAATGTAGAGAGAGACTGTGATGGATTGACTGAAACCAGTTATTTTCTTGTGAGGGGGAAATTATTCTTAGTGTTTGTCTTAAAATATCACTGAAATATTACATGTCTACAAAGTTTGCATTCATGTTAATTGAAAGAATTCATTAACATTCATATATACAAGTAAGGAAATGTTCATTACTTCAAAAACAATCACTCTGACCATTGTTATCCTCTTATTTCAGATATTGATAACCTGAATAAAAGCCACATACAGTTGGGTCAAAAGTTTTACATACACCTTGTAAAAGAACACAATGTCATGGCTCTCTTGAGTTCCCGTTATTATCTACAAGTCTGATTTTCTCTGATAGAGTGATTGTGATACAGTTATATCTTCTTTGTCCACAAAAAACATTCATGAATTTAGTTCTTTTATATGACTATTTTATGGGTTAACAGATAAAGAGTGAAAATCTGCTGGGTCATAAAATATACATACAGCAGTGCTAATATTTGGTTACAGTGTCCTTAGCCCATTTTCACTTCCAATTAGATGCTTTTGGTACCATCCACAAGCCTCTGGCAAGCTTCTCGTTGGATACTTTACCACTCCTCCTTGACAGAATTGGTGGCAGTTCAGTTAAAATTGTATGGCTTTCTGACATGGACTATGTTTCTTCAGCATTTCCACATGTTCTCAATGGGATTTAAGTGAGGACCTTTGGGAAAGGCCATTCTAAACCCGTAAATTCTAAGCCTGATTTAGCCATTCCATTACCATCTTTTGATAGTGTTTTTGGGGTCATTTCCTGTTGGAACAGCCCAATCTGCGCCCAAGACCCAACCTTCGGCTGATGTTATCTTTAGGTTATCTTGAAGCATTTTGAAGGTAATCCTCCTTCTTCATTATCCGTCATTGAAACTCTCTGTAAAGCACCAGTTTCCTTTGGCAAGCAAAAACAGCATCACAGACATAATACACACAACGCTGTGCTTGACTGGTAGCATGGTGTTCTTGGGCGTAAAGGCCTCACACTTTTCTTCCAAAATATTGCTGGGCAGTTGTGAGCCAAAAGCTCGATTTTTGTTTCTCTGACCACAGTAACTTCCTCTCAGAAGTCCTTATCTTTGTCCATGTGATACAGCAGCAAACTTCAGTCGAGCCTTAAGGTGCCGCTTTTGGAGCAAGGGCTTCCTTCTTGCACGGCAGCCTCTCAGTCCATGGAGATGCAAAACACGCTTGACTGTGGACACTGACACCTGTGTTCCAGCAGCTTCTAATTCTTGGCAGATCTGCTTTTTGGTGGTTCTCGGTTGACTCTTCACCCTTCTGACCAATTTTCTCTCAGCAGCAGGTGATAGCTTGCGTTTTCTTCCTGATCGTGGCAGTGACAAAACAGTGCCATGCACTTTATACTTACAAACAATTGTTTGCACTGTTGCTCTTGGGACCTGCAGCTGCTTTGAAATGGCTCCAAGTGACTTTCCTGACTTGTTCAAGTCAATGATTCGCTTTTTCAGATCCATGCTGAGCTCCTTTGACTTTCCCATTGTAGCGTTTTTGGGCGTTTGTATCCAATGAGCCCTATTTAAATGGCCTCAGAGAAGTCACCAGCTGTAGTCACTCATAATCACTCTCAAGAAGTTAAGAGACCATGCTATGAAGCTCATTTCATTGACACAACTTTCTAAATCACCAAAATTGCTAATTCATGTTGCTGTATGTATATTTTTGACCCAGCAGATTTTGTCACTTTTTCTGTTAACCCATAATAAAGTCATAAAAGAACCAAACTTCATGAATGTTTTTTGTGACAAAGAAGTATCTGTTCCAATCACTCTATCAGAGAAAAATCAGAGTTGTAGAAATAACTGGAAACTCAAGAGAGCCATGACATTATGTTTTTTACAAGTGTATGTAAACTTTTGACCACGACTGTATGTAATGTTTTACAGCTGCTAGTTCAGAGCACTGACACCTGTTTTATTCCAGTTCAAGCACAAGTGACCTGCTTTCACTGACTGAGAAACAGTGTTTTGTTTTTTGATAAATAAATGTAAATTTTGTTCTCAATTTGTTCTCTTTACCTAAATCAAATGGAATCGACAAGAGTATTGATAAAGTTCAGAACTGATAAGCACTAATAATAAGAGAGGCTGCATTGATAAAATCAATCAATTGTTGGCTATTGTATTTCAACTCCTGTCTAAACCCTGTAATCTATGTTTTTTTCTACCCCTGGTTCAGAAAATCTATTAAACACATTGTTACACTTCAGATTCTGCAGCCTGGCTCAAATGAGGCCAATTTAATGTAGAAAGAGACTGTGATGGATTTACTGAAACCAGTTATTTTTTGTGAGGGGGAAATTATTCCTATATTATCTTCAATAAACTCAATCCACACAGCTCAAAGCCGTGAAAATAATTTTTAAAACATTGACAAAATTACCGTATGTTGATTGACTATCAATTTACATATGTCTCTGCCAGACAATGTTATTTGCTTGTGATTACACATGCATATTCTGTGCGATCTGACTACAGTCCAATTTGAAGGAAAACCTTGAAAGAAAAATGTCGTTGTTGGGGGGGAATCATGGCAACATGTGTATCCAGTAACACCTGGATACCTATGGAGATACCTGCTAAATCTTAGTTCTCACAGAGTATTCCATAAACAATTCTTTGGATCAGTAGAATGTTTTTCTTGAATTGATCCACTGATATAAGACAGTTCAGTTCAACAGACTAATGTTGTAACTATAAATTGACCGTTTACTGTAAATACCTCCACAGGTAGAATTGATGGAGACATAATTTTTGATTTCAAATATGTATGATCCCCTCTATGAATCGCCACCTTAACGTGGCAGAAGGGTTTGTGTGTCTCAGTAATCCTGGGAGCTGTGTTGTCACTTCCCCGCACAGCACTGTCACTACAACCAAACTCCTGTAGAGGTGCTGGACTCAATCCAGGCGGGTGTGAGGATACTCAGGAGCCTTCAGTTGAACACCGCTGGGTTTGGGTTCCTACCAGAGAACGAGAGGGTCGCCTCATTAGCTGGAAGTCACTGAGCGAAGGCTCTGACTGCTGTCTGTGTTTATGCACTGAACAGCAGTTCAGGCCTACCCAGGCTTCTTGGAGTTTCTGGGTGGTGTCCTGGAAGGGGCACCACCCGGGGACTCTATAGTTCTTCTGGCGGACTTCAATGTTCATGTGGACAATGACGAAGAAACCTGGAGGGGGTAGATTTGGGGGAATGGCCCGCCTGATCTGAACTCGAGTGGTGCTTTGTTATTGGACTTGTGTGCTAGCTATGGATTTGGCAGAACAAACACCATGATTGAGCATAAGGTAGTTCATAAGTGTACTAGGCACCTTAAAACCTTAGGCCTAAGATCAATGATCGAATTTGTGGTTGTATCATCTGATCTGCTGCCACATGTCTTGAACACTCAGTTGAAGAGAGGTACAGAGCTGTTAACTGATCACCAAGCAAACCCAAATGAGTAGTGAGGGTGAACTGGAAACATCTGGCCCAGGCCCCTGTCCATTGGGTCTGTAAGTCCGACCTCTGGAAGAGTTTCTCATATCCTGGGGGAGATTGGGCCATGTGGAATCCAAGTGGGCCATGTTCAAAGCCTCCATTGTGGATGCAGCTGCCAGGAGTTGTGGCCAAAGGGTCATCAGTGCCAGTCGTGGTGGTTATCTGAGAACCTGCTGGTGGACACTGGAGGTGAGGGAAGCCGTCAAGCTGAAGAAGGAGGCCTTTTGGGCCTGGTTGGCCCAGGGATCTCGTGAAGCAGCAAACAGGTACTGGCAGGCCAAAGTGGCTGTGGCTGCAGCGGTCACAGATGCTAAAACCCGTGTGTGGGAGGAGTTCGGGGACCCAAGGAGAAGGACTTTCGGTTGACCTCAAGGAGGCTCTCGCAAACCATCAACCACCTCATGAGCTCTGGGTCCTGGGTCATAACTGACAGGTAAAGGGTTGCACAACTTGAACTGCATGGAATACACATATTGCATAATTGTATTCTGAGCAGACAGCAGTGTATGTGCCATGGAGACGTCATGGAGACATACGTCAACTGTGTGATTGTACGATCTAAATCTCTGCCAAAACTTGCCTGAAAATGGAAACAGGCAGAGAAAATGGAAAGAGGGGGGAATGTCGGCTGAAATAGGTCCACAATGGCAGGCATATACCCACAACCTACATCCAGTTAGTCAGACCAGAGTAGACTTGACCAGTGTGTTTTCTACTCTTGGTATTGCAGTCCTTGAATTGGTGTAATTAAAGTTTCCAGCTACAATGAAAACCCCCTAAGGATAAGCATTCTGCCGTTTCTATTGCAGTCAGCAGATAACCAAGTACTACATTTGTGTTAGCATCTGGTGGGCTATATACAGCTGTGACAATAACACCAGAAAGCTCCCATGGTAGGTAGAAGGGTCTAGTGCCAGTAATTCTAAGTTAGTGGAGCAGTACAATGATTGCTGTGCTTGTACACCTGTTATTGTTAATGTACATACACAGTCCACCTGTGCTGCCCTTGTTGCAGTCACAGGGATCTTGCACAACAGGTGGAAATGATGTGACATGACTATCCATAGTCTATTTTGTAGGAAAGTGACTCAATACTGGACTGGAAATAAAGATTCAGGGGTGCGGTGGTTTGTGAGGAGCCTGTCTTAGCTTAATTATGAATTGTTCCAATATGTGGGAATTTTCTGCCACCAAATGAAAAAAAAACAAACAAAAAGGAAAGAAAAGCGTGGCACTGTTTCCTGGAATCAATGTGCAGGCGTAGCCTTTTGAAAAAAAAATGCAATACGTTCAATAACACAGAGAGACATACTGGGATTTGGCCTTCTGATAATATGAAATTTGCATTTGACAGGGGAGAAAGAAAGAGATAAATCAGTTGTATGACAAATGGCTTCACTCAGAAAGCTGTGAGCACTCAGCAGCTTCTCCTCTCTCTCTCTCTCTCTCTGAATATGGGGGGCCAGCTAGGAGACGAACTCTGCTATCCCCAATACCACAACGCTTCCTGCAGGAAGGCGATGCACTCTCAATCGGAAGACATGATTCTTCACAGTCTGCTGTCCTGCATCACTCTGTTCACTGTGGTTCTGAACCTGCTGGTCATCATCTCTATCTCCCACTTCAGGCAGAGATAGAATTTCTCTGCATGGCCTAAAAAATGTTTTTCTTAAATTATTTCCATCATCTTGCTGATGAAAACATTTACAGATTAGAACACATTCATATTATTTTTGTGTTTAACATGTGATATACTTCTGTGTTTATGATTGTTACTTGTCACTTGATATATACTGTAGAAATATAGTGTTTAGGCCTTTGATTAATGCATACGAGGTATTTGAAATATTTTTACAACTGCTATGCTGTAATATATTTATTCATGTTGTTACAGTACAGTTCATGCATTTAGAGTTATAACTGTTATTAACACTTATTTTTACAACTGCTACAATTAACAGTGTGTTTGTGTTGATATTCTCTCATTTCAGGCAGCTCCACACCTCCACCAACCTCCTCCTCCTCTCTCTGGCTGTCGCAGACTTCCTTGTGGGCCTCCTGCAGATGCCAGCTGAAATCCATGTGTTGGGAGGCTGCTGGATGCTGGGTGACTTTATATGTGCTGTGAATTACTTTTTAGGTTACCTCACTGTCAGTGTTTCAGTAGGAAACATGGTGCTCATATCAATTGACCGCTATATGGCAATTTGTGACCCCATGTTTTACTCCACTAAAGTCACTTTGAGAAGAGTTCAATACTGTGTTTGTCTGTGTTGGATATTTTCTGGTGTGCACAGCGCTTGGATACTGAGAATTTTCTTAAAACAACCCGACATGTATAACGCCTGTTATGGAGAGTGTGTAGTCGTACTTAGTTACGTTGAAACATCTGCTGACCTTTTCTTTACCTTTTTAGGCCCCATTGTTGTCATCACAATTTTGTACTTGCTAGTATTTGTGGTGGCTGTGTCTCAGGCTCGTGCCATGCGCTCTCACATTGCAACTGTCACACTTCAGCGTTCAGAGACTGTGAAAGCTAAGAAATCTGAATTGAAAGCAGCCAGGACTCTTGGTGTGGTTATAGCTGCATTCATTCTGTGCAACAGTCCGTATTATTGTTTCATTGTTGCAGCTGAATACAACTTGATAGGGGCATCGACTGCATACATCGAGCTTTGGCTATTGTATTTCAACTCCTGTCTAAACCCTGTAATCTATGTTTTTTTCTACCCCTGGTTCAGAAAAGCTATTAAACACATTGTTACACTTCAGATTCTGCAGCCTGGCTCAAATGAGGCCAATTTAATGTAGAAAGAGACTGTGATGGATTTACTGAAACCAGTTATTTTTTGTGAGGGGGAAATTATTCCTATATTATCTTCAATAAACTCAATCCACACAGCTCAAAGCCGTGAAAATAATTTTTAAAACATTGACAAAATTACCGTATGTTGATTGACTATGAATTTACATATGTCTCTACGAGACAATGTCATTTGCTTGTGATTACACATGCATATTCTATTCTGTGCGATCTGACTACAGTCATCCAATTTGAAGGAAAACCTTGAAAGAAAAATGCCGTTGTTGGGGGGGAATCATGGCAACATGTGTATCCAGTAACACCTGGATACCTATGGGGATACCTGCTAACTCTTAGCTCTGAATAGGAGCCAGGTTTCAGGGTACAGTAAGGAAAGTGACTAAATTTCATGATTTCAATCACAATCACTCAGATATTGTTATCCCCGAATGATACTATGATTACATGAGATAAAAGCCACATGTCATGTTTTGCAGCTGAGAACTGGCACCTTTCCACTTCAAGCACCAGTGACTTGTTTTGCTGATTGTGAAACTGTGTTTTGTTTTTTTAAATAAACAAATGTAAATCTTGTCATTTTGTTCTTTTTTTTGTCCATAAACCAAATAGAATAAGAGTATTGATAAAGTTCAGCACCAATACGCACTATCAAGAAGAGAGGCTGTATCAATAAAATCCTTATCACCCATTTTATCCTAAAACATGTAATAATAATAATAATGATAATAATAACTAGAAAATTCCTAGAGAACTTTTGAATGTTCCTGCTGCTTGGTGCATGTACTTCACTCCTCACGTTTCAATCTGCACAAAGGACATTGCTTTCAATTTCATCCATGTCATAGAGACTTATGAAGCAGTCTTGTTTTTTTTTTACAAATGCAAAACTTGTTCGCAGTGCATTATTGAGAGTTATTGCAACACATTACAACAGACCTGCATTGTAAACTAGAGTGAAATCTATCAGCATATTGTGGTTGTTTTACAGTTTTATTGTTTTGGGCAGTAAAGTCATTAAGCAGAGTTATTATTGAGTAATTTCTTATTACTTCATCATTATGTCACAATGAGTTCCTTCACAACAAATCATAGACAGCAAGTTTCTTAACAAGTATTTTAATTATAATATTCAAGCCACATATAAATATATATTAATAATCACATCCGCATTTTGTGATGCATTAGTAATTATGACAACGACTTGGAAAAATAAATGTTAAACAGAATAATCTGAACTCATTTTATAGTTGAAATATACATAGATACATATACAAAAAAATAAAACAATGAAAACAATACTACAACTATGTACGAAAAGGTTTTAGAATGACAAAACTCCTCAAGAAGTGCAAAAGGTATTGATTAGGGGATGTGCAAAAGATCACAGTATAGACAATATCTGTTATGTACAGGGATAATACCTAAAAGTGTTGATGTAATGTAATTGATGATTGATGAGGCCAGATGCAGAAGAAAAGGCTGGTGCTGGTCCATCATTGGTGAAGATTAGACTGGAATTCTGGTCCTGACACAGACAAACATGTGATACGACAATTTGTTTAGATCATACAAGTTCTTTATATTCAAACATTATGTCTGTTGTGTGTGTATGTACAATAAATACTGAGGATAGATATGAATATTCAAAAATAAACACAGTTTGAATATTATGAAGTGTAAATGCTAGGAAATAAGGGTAAACAACTAGAGGTGTGATAAGAATTCAATGTACACATACTATTTAACCAGCAAATTGAGTAGTACAAATATAGATATACTGCAAAATACATAATATAGGCAGCGGTATATTCATTATTAAGAATCAGCAGTATGAACATATGTACACTGTGGACCTGATTTAATCAGTGGTATAAACAAGTCTTACTTTTAAAGTGAATGATAGCATGTTACTCACCTCCTCACTGTGTCTGGACTCTCTGTCGTTGGTGAGACGGGTGGAGGTGGTATTGCATCTGTACTGGCTCAGGTCCTGATAAATACAGAGGTATACTGAAATATCCTGAGAAATGTAAAGACCTAGTGCACTTTCAATCATGGCTGATCTCCTAACAGTAATGTAAAGTGGTTACAACATGGTGAACCGATCAACGTGTATTCACTCGGTCTACTGGGTCCATACAATCTCAAGTTACAGTCATCGGTTACAAAATGAGCCTAAAGTTACTGACGTCACCAGCTGTACAAAAGCCGAGAGCAACAGACACAATTCTAGTAACCGCTAAAACGTCTGTCGACAACACCAATATCACCTAAAGAGCTAACATTGATGTTAATCACCATGCTAACAGGAAAGTTGTGAGCTTGGCATCAAACCGCATCTCTTCACTCACAGGAGCTGTCTCCAGCAGTGGAAAGCCTCATTCAGGTTTACTCGTGTTGTTTCTTTTCTTTGCTGTTGAACGTGGTTTCTTGTCGGGAGCGGTGCTTCGGGATGCAGATGAATATCTCCTTTTAGGAGGTTCAGCCATTCCTGTGTTTCTGTGATGCTAACTTCAAGCGCTGCTGGAAGTTGTTCTTCTTCGTGGGACTGAGGGCAGACTTGACGTGCCACTGACTCACACAGTGTTTAGTGTCACAAAGTGGTATTACAACACGGGACAGGTTGGGGCTGGCTGATGAGCATGCACATTTCAGTAGATATCTCTGAAGTAAAGCAGATGGAGGTCTTGATCATGACATAATCACTGTGGCTGCTTCACACACTGTTGATAGTGTTAATTCATTTTTTGAACATTTTAAAATAAAGTTCTGGCCACATCTTATATTGCACCTTTACAGCACAACCACCAAAGCTGACATTTAAAAGTAAAGTTACATGTTCTTTGCCCACATTGCAAACCAACTTACAGTTTTGACACTTAAATTAAAACCAAAACACTGAGCTTAACTTGACTAATATTGACACATTTGATGCATACAAAACATTTTGATTTGCTTTGACAATATATAAATATATACTTCAAATATAATTCAATTTGTGACATACAAATGTTTGTACTTGCCCATTTTGCATTCAGGTCAGTAGATATCACACTGTTCACATGAAGCAGCAAGATATAAACCCTTTGAGGAACCACTTTGCTGAGAAAGTAAAACCTCCAACGCTGTAGGATTTAGGCCCAGTACCTGGCAGTGGATTTCTGCAAGCAAAGAAAATATAACAGCCCAGGAAATTTTACTTACTGAGTATTTCACTTACTGACCGCAGACTGCTCACAGAGCCACTGCAGTCATCATGGCTTTTGGTGTCTGTATATAAAAGCAGTCATGGCGCATTGCTATCCCAGCCACCGTATTGCACAGTCTTTATGTTACGACCCAGCTAGGGGAAGCAGCTGGGAAAAGGGCAACATAAAACCAGGTGTTATTGGTAAATCAAATTTATTGCGTAACTAGGAGGGTAAATAAGTAAACAAATATACTAACAAGGCAAGAGGATAACTGAAGTAGGGGAACAGGAGCCAACAAAGAGCCTAACTATGCGATTCTAACCAACCCAAAAACACAAGAAGCAGCACCCCTGTTCCTAATGTGTCCAACAGTCTTTTTCTAAAGGTGTGACGCACAATCAGAATTTTAAACTTAGCCCAGTCCCCAACAATCACTACCACCATCTCAAACCAAATCACAAATTACACACACGTTCACAAAGGAGGTACAGAGGCGAGCTGCCTATCATGTCAGCCGCCACTAATGATGTGCGGGCCGGGCTCTTAAACTCTTTTCCTCTGAATGCTTTAACAGCTGCAGCTGTGGTGAGGACTGGCAGGATCATTGTCGCACCAATAGGAGAAGCCGGCTATGGAGTTGGAGGCTCCTCCTCTCTGCTCCGACCAATCCCGTTACGGAGGAATTACTAAAAAGGGTCACTTCTGCTTGTCTCTGGAAATCAGCTCCTGAATTTGTTTTGCAGTCAAAGGGAGAGGTGGAGGGTAGTCCCATCACATCCTCAAAAACCGTGAAAGATATCAGAATAAGACAAAAACTGGGTGATACAATACAAAAAAATGTCTACATTTTTGATATAACAAATTGTCAATGAGGGTTGGAAATTGTGGGATTTAAAAGAGTTTGTCTGACTTTTTTTGAGGAAGATTTTCAGGGATGCCAGAGTTCGCAGTTAGCTCTAGTAGAATAACGTAGACTACACCCCTGTACACAACCACATGCACACACTTCGTCCATTTCTGCCCGGATACTGCGTAAGTAGCACCTGCTGAGACCTGAGACCTGTTGTTTGCTATCAGCTTCTGAATTTGTTTTGCAGTCTATGGGAGAGCTACTATGATGGTTCCTGTAGCTCAATGCTCAAAGTAAATTTAATATGTCTGCTGCTGTATTATCTGTTGTACTGGTCAGTCTGAACTGTAATCTCTCTCTATGTGTGTGGCTGTGTTTGTAAACATCACAGAGATAAAAGAGTCTCTTAACGAGCTGGTTCAAACACCTGTGTCTAGCTGGAAGACACAGAGCTGACACAGAACTGGGTGTGATTTTGACTTGGCGAGGCTCTTAGATGACTGCTATGAAAAAACTGTAACTCCTATCAGAACCATGAGCAGACCATGACTGGCACAAGACCTGCATGTACTGCACATCTGGTTTTGGTATTTCTAGAGCCAAAAATTTGGACACAGGAGTGAGTTACAAAAAAGACTCACTTCTGCTTTTTTCTGGAAATCAGCTCTGAATTTGTATTGTAGTCAGTGGGGGAGATGGAGGGCACTCCCATCACTTTTAGGCTCACTATTCAAATTCTGTAAGTCTCTGTGCTAAGGTAGACACTTTTTATGAAACAAGAAAAACACCCATTATAAAGTCTGAAACGGTCTAAAAATGACTCAAAGCATAAACTGCGATTTTGTGTAAACCGAGATAGTTGTCAAAATACTGATTTAACCCAAAAGAGTCTCAAGTCTTGTGACCCATTTAAAGTTTCAATAATTTTTCTACGTTGAAGTGCAAG